GAACCCGCCACCTTAGGTGTATGTGGCTGGCGCCTTAGCCGCTTGAGCCACAGGCGCCGAGCCGCAGTTGTCTTTTTCCAGCTAGTTTGTTTGAAGCCCATCCTTCAAGTTCTGGATTATACCTTTGGCCACTAATCTTCCCTCTCCGTGAACTGTTACAATCTTCTATTTGCATCTTCAAATTCATAACTAGTTCATAGTCTGTCTCCAAACTTCCTTTTCTAGACTTAACATTTTCTCAGGAAGTACTAGCTACTGAAATAGAAGAGAACTTTTTTCCAATAGTATTTCCTTTAAGTGTCTTGAAAATAAACCAAAAATTACTTTGGTGACAGTTTTGGGCTCATCATCAAATTAGAATCCTTGAAGAGAGGGATGAGAATTGGCACTTGCTAAAAGTGCCATGATCGAGAAACATTGATTTTTCTGGGCGTGGTGGTTCGTGCCTATAGCCATAACAGTTTGGGAGGTGGGTGGATTGCTTGAGCTCTGGAGTTGGAGGATAGCCTGAGCAAGAGGGAGGCTCCCTCTCTACTGAAAATGGAAAAACTAGCTGGGTGTTGTGGCAGGTGTAGTCCCAGCGACTTCGGAAGCTGAGGCAAGAGCATCTCTTGTGTCCAAGAGTTTGAGATTGCTATGTGCTATGATACCATGGCAATGCAATGCCTAGGGTGACAGAATGAGGCTCTGTCTCAAAACAAAAACAAACAAAAAAAAAAAGTGAGAAACAAAAAAAAAGAAGCACTGACTTAGACGGATAATAGAGTCCACCCTGTTAATAACTATAAGAATGAAATATAATATTTGGCTAAAGATAACTTTTTATAAACACCAATTGCTAATAAATATTATATCTCATTTTATGTCATATACATACATATGCACACACACACACACACACACATATATATATATATTTTTTGCCATGGAGTCATAGCTCACAGCAACCTCAAACTCTTGGGCTCAAGAGTGCGCAAGCGATTCTCTTGCCTCAGGTGCCTGCCACAATGCCCAGCTATTTTTTTTTTTTTTTTTTAGAGACAGAGGTCTCACTCTTGCTCAGGCAATCCACCCACCTTGGCCTCCCAGAGTGCTAGGATTATAGGTGTGAGCCAGTGTACCTGGCCATAGTAGACAAAGGCTCACTCTGTTGCCCTGGCTAGAGTGCTGTGGAGACAGCCTAGATCACAGTAATCTCAAACTCCTGGGTTTAAGTGCTCTTCCTGCTTCAGCCACCCAGGTTGCTGGAATTGCAGGCACCTCCCCGACTCTCAGCCAATATTTCTATTTTTTTTTTTTTTTTTGGTGGCCGTGGTCAGGTTTGAACCTGTATATAGGGCTGGCGCCCTTCTCCTTTGAGCCACAGAAACCGCCCAATATTCTATTTTTTTTTTTTTTTTGAGACAGAGCCTCAAGCTGTCTCCCTGGGTAGAGTGCCGTAGCATCACAGCTCACAGCAACCTCCAACTCCTGGGCTCAAGCGAGTCTCCTGCCTCAGCCTCCCAAGTAGCTGAGACCACAGGCACCCACCAC